TCACTGATCGCCACTTAGGACACAGAGACGTTGACTGCAACTCTTTGAATGAGTCCTTCCAAACAATTCCTTACCCACCAAGTGGTCCATCCATCAAATCCATGTCTTACCAATTTAGAAAAAAAAAAAAAAAAAAAAAGGACATCATGCAGGACAGTGCTAAATGCTTTGCACAAGTCCAGGTACATGATGTCAGTTGCTCTTCCCGTATCCACCAATGCTGTAACCCCATTGTAGAAGGCCACTAGATTTGTCAGGCACAATCTGCCTTCCCTTAGTGAAGCCATGTTGGCTGTCACCAATCACCTCCTTATTTTCTATATGCCTTATAATAGTTTCCAGAAGGTTCTGCTCTATAATCTTGCCAGTCACAGAGGTGAGACTGACTGGCTTGTAGTTCCCTGGGTCTTCCTTTTTTCCCTTTTTATGTTTAGGGTTATGTTTGTTGTCTTCCAGTCAGTGCAAACTTCACTGGACTGCCATGACTTCTCAAATATGATGGATAGTGGCTTAGAAACTTCATCTGCTGTTTCCCTCAGGACCCATGGATGTATCTCATCAGGTCCCATGGACTTGTGGGTTTTCAGGTTCCTTAGCATGTCTTGAACCTGATCTTCTCCTGCACTGTGTTGTTCATCATTCTCCCAGTCCCTGCCTTTGCCTTCTGGGGCCTGGGCCTTTTGTTTGTTTGGTTGTTTTTTTTTGTTGTTGTTGTTTTTTGTGGGTTTTTTTTGTGTCTGACAAGGCTACAGCTCTTGTCAGTGAAGACTGAGACAAAAAAGTCTTTGAGTACCTCAGCTCCATATCCCAGGTGAACAGGTCTCCCATTTCCTTCCAGAGAGGGCCCACAATTTCCTTATTCTTTCCTTTTATCTCTGGGGTAACTACAGAAAAATCCTTTCTTATTGCCCTTGATGTCCCTGGTCAAATTTAATTAAGACAGGGCTTTGGCTTTCCTAACCTGATCCCTGGCTGCTCAGACAATTTCTCTGTATTCATCTCAGGCTAATATATTTTTCCTCCTGATAACATACTGCTGAAATTTAACTCTTATAATCTCTTCTAAATATAAATGCAAAACTATACCTTATGTTTTCTTCAGATTCAAAGTGAACAAACCCACAATGTAATGGCTATCAATTTACAAGTGACCTCTTTGAACTTTTATTTCAGCTCAGATTAATGAGAGGTTTAATGATGACACTTCTGAATTAGTTGGTTTTTTTTTGTTTTTTTTTGGTTTTTTTTTTGTTAGCAGTTCTAAGATTTACCAGCACTATTCTACTGATTGTTTCTAAAAGTGAGGAGAACCTTCTCTTTGAACTCAACTGAAACTTGCATAAAGATACTTTTTGGAGTTAAATTTGAGCATTGTTATAATAAAAAACTAAGTAATATTCCCCAAAAATATCTGCTTAGTCCAAAATAAAAATGGGATATAACAATTATAAGACTTACCAATTATGCATATTATGTTGAACTCATATTAATGTTACAGTTACTTCTACTATTACTCTATTTTTTAAGGATGAACAATATGTGTATATGTTAGCTTTTATGCTAGATTTTATGAGTTTTCTACAACAGTCACTTTTATTATTTCATGTCCTTACTCAGATATATTTCCTTCTTTCATTTCACTCTCACATGAGTCACAAAGGAGGAATAGGTATAGATATATTTTTATTTCAGACCTAAAATTCATACCTCACTTGTGAGTTATGCAAGGAAGATAAGAAGCTTCATTAAACAAGTTGTCTGTGAATAGTGATTTGCAGTTTGGGAGTAATTTCATTTGAAATCATTAAATGTACACAGCTAAAATAATTTTATTTCTTTGAAAAACTCCACTTACTATCTTACACTGATGAAGACAATAGACATTTATTTTTTTAAATACACTTCTTAATTACCTAGAGAACGTCATTTGCTCTGTATTTGCATGTTATACACACTTTCTGTAGTATACAGTAAAGAAAATTTCAAAAAATAGAAATAAACACAATTTAAAGGGAATTTTCTAAATACATGAATCAAATGAGTTACCTCTTTGTAGCTAAATGAGACAACAATCATGGTTTATAATGTCCTCATTGTTTCTTGGAAAGATACAACATGGAAAATTACATTTATCAGTTCTATTCAGCTAAATCTGTTTCCTTCCAAGATAATAGAGTAAATGTTTGGTTTTTTGTTTGTTTGGTTGGTTGGTTGTTTTTTTTTTGTTGTTTGGTTGGTTGTTTGGTTGTTTTTGAGCCTTACTGCAAGAAAGGTGAAAGAAAAAGTAAGTGAATATGGGCAACACACATGGTAACATTAGAGTGTACCTGTCAAATAGAGTGTACCTGCCCACTTATGTCATTTATAAAACTGAGTAACTGAGAAGTATTGCACTGTACAAGTACAATGTATTTCTACTGTGGACTGGTGTTGTGATCAGTAATGACTAGCTAAACACTTACCTGGCTAGAGTTGCTGTTTTGCAGCCAGTATTCATGACATAATTATATATAGAAAGAGGACAAGCATGTAAGTAATTTACATTTAAATCTGAACCCAAAACAACAGAGCTATGAAATCTCTATAAAATCCTTCAAAAAAAAAAAAAAAAAAAGAGCGTAAATTAGAGTTTCAAATTGAAGTGTGGAATTAGAGCTAAAATATGCTAGCTAATAAATGGGAAAAAAATAAATTAATGTTGTTTCTTGTGCTACTTCCAACATATATAAATAACTATCAAAGTATAGCAAATCAAAATATCTTGCTAAGGAAGTAACAGGAATATTATAAGTGACAAGGGTAAAGACAGTTGGTTTTATTAGTGTACCACAGACAGAAATATCCTATTTGTTCTTAGTATGTAGAACGGAAAAGTATGAAGTACTTATGTCAGATAAAAATAATTTAAAAAAAATAAATTAATGTTCTAATTGAAATTGCCATAAAACAACTTCTGAAAAGTTCTATAAAGCAAACTTTATAGATTATACCCAAATGTGCTACACAGAAGAGTCCTCAAGCCAAACAGGACACCAAATTTTGAAACTAGCTTGTAAGAAAGTATTTTCAGATTAATAATGCATGCTACCAAGCAACTGTGGTGATAGAATAGAAAAGAGAATACAAGAGACCTCATATGATCCACACATATCTATAAAAAGACATAAATTAATAGAGTACTGAAGAAAAAGAGATCAGTCTGTTTCTTTTACTAAGAAAAAAAAAAAAAAAAAAAAACTTCATTTCCATGCATTATCTATTCTATGGTTCTATGGTGAAGAGACCATTTCACAAGAATAGAAAGGTACTTTAGGGATTAAGTGTCAGAGTCTCAGAGATGAATCCACACTCATTCAAAATAAATTATCTTTTGTCAGGTTAAATAATCAAGCTATCAACAAACTGATAAGGAAAAAAATGATTCTCTATTTCTGAAATATCCCAATAAACAATGGATACCACTGCAGAGATTGTATATTAGTCAATACAAAAGTTTTGTGCTTAATGAGATTCAATGATTTGTGACATTCAGAAAATACTAACTTCTGAGCTCCAATTACTATTTCCCAAATCTCTTTAAAGCTCTTGAATTTGGAAGTGTTTGGCTGAAAGCTTAAGCCCAGGCTCAATTACTCACAACCTATTTTTTTTTTCTGGCTGAATGATAGCTACAGCCTTATACATTGGTAGTTGCCATGTCTGTATTTGTTGTGTCTCAACAAAAGGACACCCTTAAATAATGTGAAAGGTGTTGTTGCTTTGTTTTGTTTTGTTTTGTTTTGTTTTGTTTTTACCTGCAGCTTCATACAGCTACAGAAAATTCCATCAGTGGAATCCAGCAAATGATGGTAGAAATGAATAGATAATTTAAATTTCAATCTCTGCTATGAACTGCATATCCCCATCTTCCACAAAATCCAACTGTGTTTACATCTAAGTTTAGATTTGATAGCAATTAAAATAAATCCAAAATATTTTAATGAGAAAAAATCAGCATGTAACAATTGATTTTCCTTTTATGATGTCCTCCTAGCTTCTTTTAGAATACCTGAAGTAGTCTCATTCTCAGCTCAAAATCAAACGAGTACATTTTTATTCCTTTACTTTTTTTTATTTCCTTCCTATCTAATGCCATATTTAGAGAAATGTAAAACTATAGAATAAAAATCTTGTAAAATGACTGATGAGTGTTTGAGCTAAAAATAAAGTTGAATTAGTATAAACACTATCTAGTCTCTAATCCGTTTCTTCTCTAATCCGTTTCTTCCCTCAGTATGAATGTAAATGACACATCTGAGCTTTCCCCTAGATCTCTGTTGAATAGCAAAATACAGTGATAAACACTTCTATTCCAGAGAACAGGTGTGCAATGCAGTCATTAAGAAGTGGTAGTGACATGAGTACATACTTATTGCCCAAACAATTTTGTAACTTAAAGAATATTGCAAAAGTAAAGGTCCCCAAGACTTCGGTCACTTCATTTTAGCTAAAGAACAATGTTATTGAAATCCCCCATCTAATTGAATGTGTCACTTACTGATCTCCTGGACTGGAGGTTTATGGCAGAAAAACAAACAAACAAACAAACAAACAAAAACAACAACAGCAACAACAACAACAGCAACAACAACAGAAGTGGTGGAATTTTCTCATTTCATCCAGGTTTTTAAGTTATTTTCTTTTACCTATAGAATGAACATAATCAGGAGTAAAACAGAGCACTGAAGATGCATGAAGAGCATTTCAAGTGATTTGCTTGATCTCGATAAAATCTTGGCCTCCCTTGTAGGTGAAAGAGACATATTCTATGCAATGACCCATTTATTAAAGATTCCCTGCAGAAAGCAAGCTATACCAAGCATTAAATGAACCTTAATTGTAATTATATTTTATTGCTCCTTGGATTATTAAATGTTTAAACTTGTTTAAACTATGAGATAACAGAATCTATGTTCTCAGTAGTGAAAGGGTAGTAACAGTAATTTTACTAAACATTTCAGCCCTGTTCCAACAATCTCTTGGAGGAAAGTTAATGGTCACAATCCAAGTAAAGCCCGCCTGAGAAAATCTCAAGCTGTGCTTGAAATACCTAATGTGCAGCTAGAGGATGCGGGGATGTATGAATGTAAAGCTGAAAACTCACGTGGAAGGAATGTCTTCAGAGGGCAACTTCAAGTGTACAGTAAGTATAATTGCACACGGTATTGTCCATCAATGCTTTGTCCATACTCAAGGCTTTAACGATATATGAAGGATGCTAGAAATTAAATATCTATAATATCCACTAGAAATTAAATATATATAAAATAAATATGAAATAAAATCTTTATTTAATTAAGATATATATTTTTGTTCCTCAGTAATGCACTAAAGTCTGGAATGGGAATGAAGCTGTCTCACACAAAACCTGGCTTAAATAGCATTTCATGTTTCCTGATGTTTAGGGTTGCATTTTATTTTGTTTGTTTGTGAAGAGAATTCTTGTAATTTTAGAGGTCTTTATTTTTCTCCTGATATAATACATAATATGTAATATATAAATTAATATATAAATATATATATACTCACTCACATTAACCATAATGCATATGTCAGAAAATCAGTTTTAGAAATACCTTAGTATTTTTCTCTTACTTTTATTAAGGATACATACTTGCCATGCCTGGGTGCAGAGTTTTGCCAAAGTCATTGTACAGGAATCAGAATAGGAGAAGCAATTCTCTTTTTGTAAATAAAAGCTCTCAGTCTGGGAATGCACAATTTATGTAGCCTTCCTAGATTTTTTTTTTTTTTGAGTCAAAAAATTCAACCATATTGATATGTTGTTGGAAAAAAAAAAAAAAAAAAAAAAAAAAAAAAAAAGACCCCGAATTAAGAATATTTGATAAAAGTAATTCATTAATTCATTTTTATATAATGTCATTGATACACCCTAGAGGCCAGAAACAAAAGCCTATACAAAACATGACTTATTGATTAATTGCAGCTCAAATATTTCACTTTAGTCCCTCCTATTTCTTGTTATCAGTCCATGAATCCTACAACCTTAAGTACTTAGCAGGAGCAGTCTATTGCAGGAGATCATGCAACAAATCTTTCAGACTCTGAGTTGTATTTGGTCTTCAAATATTGCAGTCAGTGTTATTCAAACTTCATTACTTGAGACTGTTCCTCAGGCTAATAGATACCTTTAAGTCTATCCTGTTAATTAATTTTATTTTTATTTTCTGGATTTCAGACAACTGTTATTAGTGCTTTCTCCCCATTGCTCACTGTATATAGTTCTCTGTCTTTTTTTCCACACTTTCATCAAATAATCATAGATTGTCACCATATGTTTAGTTATTTTTCATATAAGTCAATATTTCCAGGTCCATAATCAAATTTGCTGTCTCCTCCAACTTTCAAATGTCTTTATCTTAGCTCCTCAGTTTTCAGTGAGTGTCAGCATATAGCTGGATGATGTTCCTCTCCTTCCTTTTCCTTCTTATCCATCTGGAGCCAAGGGCAGGTTTTTGCCTTCTACTGTGTATAGGAAAAAATATGTGATAGCAAAGGTGGTGGTTTGCACCTTTCCTTTTGGACATGCCACCCATACTGCACTTGAATAAAAGTATTTTACTAAAGAGAGAAAGAGAGAACGAGAGAGAGAATGAGAGAGAAAGAGAATGAGAACAAGAAAGAGAGAAAGAGAGAAAACTCAAAGCCTCAGGAACTATTTTATGCCTTCCACTGTGCCAATTCCACAGTGATATTTCTCCATTATTACTAATTCCTACTGTTTTTTACTTCTACAAAAGTATGACAAATTCTGTTACAGTCATGGATGCCAAAGAATTTAGCAACATGTTTGGTCTTTTTCCTTAATATTTCTTAAAATATCAGAAATTCCAAAGATTATAATACATACCCCAGCTCATACAGTTGCTATCTCTTCTCTAGAGTTGTGAAACTAACAAAATAAATAAATAAATAAATAAATAAAATAACCAAAGCTTTCTGTAATAGAGATACAATTATCTTTACCTCTTTCTTTTGAAATAAAATAAAAGAAAAAAATACCTTTTCAGGAGAGAAATTAAGCTGTTGGAAAATTAAATTGCTTCCTCAAGAGCAGCCTTCAGACCTGTGCAGAGCCATAAGCAGAACTCATATCACAGCACACATGATCTCATGTTCCACCTAACTCTACCTCTCTTATTAGCCAGGATACATTTTCATTTTCAGTAGTAGTAAAGATGCTATTCAAATGTAGAAGAGAAGAAAACATTCTTTTTGTCAGCTTTGTTCCATTCTGTTTAGATAGAAATAAGAATTTTTAGTTCTCCTGCCATTGTATGGTTGTCAAAAATAATATTGTTTTCAATCTGACTTTACGGATAACACACAGTTTGTGTTAATTGACTTTTTTTTTTCTTTTTTTCCATATCAGACCAAATGCTTGTACATTAAATAAAGGAGGTTCATTTCAGATTGTCTAAATCCTTTGATTAACAGCTGCATGAGACTATCATAGTGCTACATTTCTAAATGTAGCAGTCTATTACTATCTTTTAGTAATGGGTAAATTCTGAAGGTTAATTCAGAACCACATCCAAATCAACGTTTCACCTACATTAGCAGGGAGGAAGGTCAGAGCAGGTGACAAGGGACTTTCAAGTGGAGGAGAACGGCAGTGACCTCCAGCCCAGAAAAACAAGAAGTGCAAACTGTTAATAGCTCCTTACAAGTATCTTGGCCTCAAGATAAAGTATTCCCCAGTGAGCCTCTCACATTCAGACTGCTCCTGAAGACATTAGTTCCTCATTGGCCTAAAATCCCCAACTTCCTTTTCCAGGGATGTAAGAGAGTTTGGGTAAGAAGGTTCTTAACAGCACAAAGTTTAGCCAAGTGTTACTTTACAAAATTCTCAGCTTCCTTTGGTGAGAGCTGATATAGCAGGATACAGGGGCAGCATTTGCTGATGTATTTCTTATTCATAACAACAGTCAACATGAATTATTTATCTTAAAGCTCATTGTCTTTTCACTGACATCTTATTCCTCCAGGAGACAAGGATTATTTTGGCTCAGAAATTCAGATGTAGGCCGTCATTCCTTACCAGGGGTTTCTTGTAAAATTTCAGAGCAGATTGTAGTACCAGCTGTGTCATACTGTGGTTTTACAATCTGCATATCTCTGTAGGAACTCAGTTGCTGTCTGTTTGAATCTTCATTTCATCAGTTGCATCTAATCTGGGTCATCACAAGTTATTTTGGAGAAAGACCAGGGCCCCAAGTCTGCCTGTCTCCTCAGATTTAATCAGAAGTTGCTGATTTATCAATCATTTCTTTCCTGATGCTGCAATCCAGGTATAACATAACTGCCTGACTCAAATGACACTTTGAATGTTGTGCAGAAAGTGGTATTTCAGAATTTGACAATTTCAGATTGTTGTAGTCTCAACACTTGGTTGAAATTCAGCTGTAAAAGTGGCATAGTTATTAAAAATATAATTTTGATGATGCGAGACATCTTCATATATTTGACTGCAACCTATTTTGAGAGGTGTGTTTTTCCCCAAGCTCATCCTGTAGCTTACAAGAAATTATATTCAAGCTGAAAATGATTAATAGAAAAGAGCACAAAAATTTGGGTGGAGAAACTGGGCATTAACCATTTGCAGTCACAGCTTCTCCACAAACTCTACCAGGACTACCAGGATGTTCCCAATGGCAACTTCTGCTCTGTGCAATTCCTCCTGCTCTTTTCTCACTCTGAAAATGATGGGTTTGCTTCTGTATTACCTACTCACTAGTGCCAGTTCAGCAGAGGGTGGTGATGTGAACCAGAGAATGAAAACATTTTTCTTGCCATTTTTCTTTCAGCTGGCTCAGTTACCTGATCCTGCTCACAGCAGCAACCCATGAACAGCTCTGCTGACACAGCAGGATGGGAGGTCTGCCATAACGTGGCAGTTGAACAAGCAGCTGAGGGCAGGAATATTCTGAAATGCAGTGTAGTAGGCAAACCAGATTTTTAACACCATTTTAATCACTTCCTCATAAAAATTGTATGGAGTAAAATCCACCAGGGTCACTGCAGGTTAGCCCCAGAAAAATAGAGTAAAACCGGCTAAAAAGGATAAGATTGCTGATTGCATCTTCAGCTGAAATCTGTTATCTTTGATTTCTCACTGTGATAGCTACCTATTCTTCTCATACTTTATACTTTTCAATTGGCCTCATGTTCAGAAAAATAATTTATTTCACCCTGAATGCATTTACTCATTCACACTTTAGGACACTATCTGAAGTCATTTGTCTATGCAAAATTTTCTCATAAGTTTTCTTTCAGCCAAAAATTTGCTAAATTATTCCAGAAAGTGGTTCCACAGAGGATACAAAAACTGGCCTGTAAACTTGCTGTTTTGTTGCCAATGCGTTTTTGTAAAACATTTTGGCATCCTTGAATAAAAAGCTACAGAAATTAATAAAATAAATCAGGGGATGGACAGTGATTTTAAAATCTTGGCAGGACTATAGAAAGTTATGGTAAAGTATCTATGAAGTTTAATGAATCCTTCTATTCTTACATTCACTCCCAAAACTTCATTGGACAGATAAATACTGGCAAATGCTCATTTTTTTTCCATGATGAATATTGTATATATATACACGCAAAAATATATATATATACACATACATCTACATATGTATATACATATACATACATCTATATCATATAAATATAATATTAATTCCAAAAATAAATATAAATCAATATAAATAAAAAGTTAATTTCAAAATCTGTTTAAATACAATTTATATTTTCTTATTAAAATTAAGTTCAATTATGGAATGAAATTTTCTTTGCCCACATGTATATCAGGATTATGTTTAAAAGTTGCTTTGTTGTTTTTTTTTTTAAATAAAATTAAAATCATACATTGAGTTAGAAGTTGCAAATCCAGTTAAACATTTGTTTCTTATTATTGACAAGGTTTAAGAACAAATGTTATGATATTATGGAGAGGCTCTTGCTAATAACTAGAAAGGGAACTGTTTTCCTGTAGCAAAGTAGGAAGAGAAACATAAAGAAACAAAGAGCAGAAAGGAAGCCAAAAATTTGGCTTAATCATGCACTTAGTTGTTTTCATTCTACCTACCGCTTTACCATCTTGTTCAAAATTTCTTTTGCTTCACTCAAAAATCCAAGTCATTGCCTTTGCTGATGGCAAGATTGAAAATTTTGAATCCAAAGACCACTTAGACTATGAGGAGAAAATTTAAGGTAGAAATACTCCATATAATGAAAAAAAAAAAAAAATGTTAATACCTACTGATCATATCACTATGATTTGAAATTTTGTGGTTATAGAGGAAAAACTGTGCCATTATACTTTCATGACAGTCACAGCCAGGGGGAAGGGAATGGCAGCTGTGTACCAATAAGAACACCTCTGCAGCCAGACTTGGTGAGGCAGTTTTGTTTCAGTGAAATCAGGTTACTTCTTAATTAAGTAATGCTTTGGTTCATTGTGAGATCAAATTCAATATAGAAAAATGAGACCATATATGCTTTGGATCACACAGTAGAAGTTTCAGAAAAGCAAAAAGAACATTTTAGTGCCTCTTTGAAACTGCATATCTTTAAGGCACCACTGTCTATCTTTTACAATTTTTAACTACATATTAAACTGTCACACTTGCCAAAATCATACTAGCATATTAATTTTCAAAGGAAGCAAGTGCTTCTCAGCATGCTTTTTTTGTGCATACCAAAACACTACAGAAGAAAACAACAGAAACAACTAAACAATGCAATTGAATTATATTTTTAGGAAAATTAGTAGACAAGTGACTACAGGCACTCGCACTAACTTCTTCAAAATATTACATGAGATTTTTCGATTAACATAAGAATCAAGTGATTCAGTGTAGAGGAGTACATGCCATGCATTGCCTTAGCTGTAATAAGAATGTCAGAGCAGCTGTTTTCGGTCTTGGTGTAGGAGTTAAGTTGGGTCTATCTTGTCTCTGTTTTCCTCCACTGAAAGGGAAATAAGTGATTCCTTTTTATGATACATATCCAGTTTCTGACAACCGTCTGGCCAGGGACTGTACTGCAGATTATTTTCTGCTTAGGAATGATAGACAACTCATTCACTACTTTTATCGTGCATGCACAAGATGTAAGCTAGAAGCAGTTAGTCACCTGTCATGCATCCTCATACCTACTCACATCTTTGATTGGTGATCTGTCAATTGGCAGCTAGATTCAAAGATTTACTTTTAAACTTGGTTCCCCATGTTTAAGCATGTTATCAATTATCCGATGTTTGAAGTAGAGATTGTGTTTTGACAGAACTAGATTTCTTTCTACTCATTTGAAACAGAAGAATTTTATATTCCTTTAGAAATGAAGGTCATTAGCTATTTATTCTCTACCATTTAAAATATATATATTTAGTATAAATACATTAATTAAATTAATATATTATCTTCTTTGCTAGAGAAATTGGTATTGCTACAATACGAAAACCAAAAACTGGACTTCTAAGCATATATATTTTTACTGAATATATATGTTTAGAATATATATATGATTATATATATATGAATATATATGCTTATATATGAATACTCAGTTCTTCACTGAGTCTTAGTAAGTTTTCCAAATGATAAGATCCTACACGTAACTGTCTGACTGCTGCTTTAAAAATTTGCATTTCTGCAAAAAGTATTCCCTGCTTTTTTGTTTTTTTTTTAGCAGGTTATTACATGAAATCTGGGTATTAATGATCATATATACAACTATCAACTGTCTACCTTTAAAAAAAAAAAAGAGAGAGAGACACTTTAACATTGACTTGTTATGTAATTTATGTTAATGATGAGTGCTGGAAATCTCATGGGTTCTGTGCTTAAAAGCATTAAAAATATTTTCTCACTTGAAATACTAATTAATGCCAAAAAAAACTTTAATAAAAATATGTGCAAATGCCTTACTAAATGCCCAGTCATTCTTAGCTGAATAAACAATGATTTCCTAGTAAAATGAGAGAACTATGAAACTCAGAGTCTGCAATGATTGACTTCTTTATTGAAATTTAAATAGCTTAAGTATTGCAATGTTACTAAATATTCTATTGTGACTCCCAAGCAAATGTTCTTAAATCCAGTAATAATATTTTAATATATAGTGCTGTAATTTAATCCTTTGGATTTTATTAAATTGGGCAGATTTTCTATTCCTGATCATGATACTGCTAACTGTCTGATGACATTACAGCATTTCCTTTAAAGTTAAGAAATTTCATAAATTTTATTACTTTCTCTTTTTGTTTTGGTTGTTTGTTTAACAATGTTCCTTTTTTTATAGTAAGCTAGGCTTTGTAAAGGCCACAATTCAATCTGTTTAATTGATTAGGTCTTTGCATATATGCTAGAAACTTAACAGTTCATATGCTATGTACATACCATGGTATATTTTTCTTGCAGCCTACCCACATTGGGTGGAGAAACTTAATGATACTCAATTAGATAGTGGGGATCCACTCCGATGGGAATGTAAAGCCACTGGAAAGCCAAGGCCCACATATCGTTGGCTGAAAAATGGAGTTCCACTCTGGCCACAGGTACATTAGATGAGGAATCACCAGTATGTCACATTTTTCTCTTTTAATACAGATAAAGTCAATTAAAGAAGGTACTGAAAAGTACTTTCAGAAATGAGAGTTTTCTGTATTAGTTTCTGAAGTATAATTTTAGAGACAGGTTCTCAATATCTGTCCCCTCTGAATCATCTCAAGCAATGTTGAGTTTCATTCATTAGTAATTCTCTCTAGTTCAGAAATATTTTGGAAACAAAATCTTCTGAGTTGTGTTTGCAATAGCACTGCCACTGTACTGTAATAATGATCTAAGCAATCCCCAGTATATGTATATTTACTTTTTCTATTTTAGATATTGATATTAATTGACAAATTATGTTATTTGTGTCTATTTTTCTGTATAAAGAGACTGTAACAAGTCAGAAAAAGGTTGTATTTGCTGAATCAGACTCCTTCATATTTCCCCCAATATTATGTTATTTACCACATAGTAAGATTTTTTGTATTTTTCAAAACACTGATAGTGTTTTGAAACTTATGTAAGAAGTACGTTTCATCAGTTTTCAACTCCATTAATTCTCTACAAGTAGCAGAACTCACCATCGACACCATTAAAATATTCCAGATAAAGATGTAAAGACTTTCATACAATCACGTGATATGTTTTAGAAGTAGACCTAGATAATATTGTCTTTCCTTTTAAAAGAACGGTCACGGCATAGACTGCCTTTTGTCTTTACTCTGTTTTTTCCCATTGACCCATCAACACGTCAACAACCCAATTCATGTGGGGTTTTTGTTCGTTTGTTTTTGCCTAACACCTTTCCATTTTTACAGTCTTAAAATATTTAAGGAAAAGTTTTGTAAATTTATTTCATACTTTTTTTTTTTTTCCAGATTAAATTAAAGCTGTTCAATGTTGGGAGAAAACATCTCCATTTGTTAAAGAATTCATGGAATGGATTCATAAATATAAAATGAAATGTCTTTATTTTCAGTGAATGTCACTTCTGTGAACATCAACCAATTATGCAAACAATGAGAAAGGAAACATAAACAGAGTTTATTTTTGAAGCTGTGAGGCATTGAAAATAAGTTTATATGCCTTTACTTTATTCATTTCATTCCTGAAATTGAAGCAGTGTAAATATCTGTAGTTTTTGGTTTTCTGATTATCTAAATCATTAGTTGCACTGGGCTCTGAAATTTCCATATTAAATTTCATTTTAAACAGGAGTTTATGACAGAGAAAACTTTTATTCATAGTTTCCTCTGTATTTCCAAACAATCTGTTCTTTAGTAAATTTTAACTAAAATATCATCTTCAGTAATGAAACCTAGAGATGTTTTATAGAAGTTCAAGTTATTCCTTATAAAGTTCCATAAAGTATATTTTTTCCATAAACAGCCGTTAATACCCCTTCTTTTCTACCTGTGTTAATTATTTTCTACTAGTGGACATTTCAAAATAGAAATTGGCTCTGATGTTTAAGGCAACTAAAACCGTTCACTCTTACTCATGAAATCTTTTATGTCTACTTTTATAACATAGGGTCGTGACTGAGACCAAACATTTGACAGAGATATGAAGATCATCAGATATTTTCCACCCACAGAACACTTCTTGCCTCATTAAAGTTACCAGGATGAAATGTTTTTAAAAGTTGTACAAGGGTGATAGCACCAAATATATATATAAGCAAAGAAACAAAAGCAAGCATAGGTGATTGTGAACTTACACTTAGAAATATTTAAATATTCTTGGAGTTTTTTTTCTGGCCTGTTTTAGTTTTGTTATCTCTTAGATAACAAGTTTTGTTATCTCTTAGATAACAAAAGCCTAAGGTTTTTTATTGTTTATTTTTATTTTAGTTTAATAATGTCTTTTGTCTCTTGCCCAGCAAATTTCCAGTACCTTTTTGGTTTCATTGAACTGTTTTTTGTTATTTCATTACAGAGCAGGACTGAGATGGTTAATGGTGTACTGATGATCAACAGTGTGAATGTCTCAGATGCTGGAATGTATCAGTGCTTAGCAGAAAATAAGTATGGTACTATTTATGCCAGTGCTGAGCTGAAGATTTTAGGTGAGTATTATAAATAAATTAATGAATTAATTAAAACAAAAAACAAAACAAAACAAAAAAAAAAAAAAAACAGACTGTTTCTTTTTTTCTGTTTGATAGTTACATTTGTTCTTGGCCTCTTATGATAAAGAATGGCTTCTGTCCAAACTTAGCAGAACAGATAATAGTGGGTTTTATTGTTATTTCTGATGGGGAATTTTATTGCATAGGAGACCACAGATCCTTTTTGTAACTGAATGCTTCCATTCCTAAATTACTGACTTAGTTACATTTTGTATCTATTTCTCATATAAGTCTATATCAATTTAAAATACATGGAAAATATTTTTTTCCCTCAAAAACAAATGCAAGAGAGAAACCTAGAGAACTATTAGACATTTTAATCTATGTTAAATTAAATTATTATTTAACAAGGGCCATTGTTCACAGGTGATTAAGCATGAAGTTACTTCTACAAACTTGAAAATTTCCTAGAAATTCACCAGGGCTGATTGAATAATGGCAATTGTATATTTGAGCTAGTATCACCCCATATTAAAGCAAATATACTATGTAGTGTTTCTCAGTAAATGTAGGAAAATTTTCACCATTCACAAGTTGAGGAAGGGAGTTAATGAAGAAAAAATATGAAGCATGCCTTACCAACTCTGGTTTTGTATAAAGCAAAAAAAGTAGCACAAAACAATACAGAAGTGATAAAAGGAATTACACTGTGATAAATGAGGCAAACTTGTAAGAGACTTATTTTCTATAATCCAGTGTAGTACAGCTGGAAGACAGGTTTCTGACAAAGTAATTCTCTGGTCATGTCAGAAGTCTCTGCACTGCTTAAACCTGGAAAATTTCAAAACCTGCACCTGGGAATCCTTCTTGAAAAATCCCAGTAAATAAATAATAAGGCTGAAGTTACTGAAATAATATAATACATTTGAGCTAAAATTTGTTCTTTTCTGAAAAAAGTATGTAGTGCATTTCCACTACTTCCTAGCTGGCCAACATTAAAATTTCAGTGTTAACTCTTAGAAATATTTCTGTCTACCTACAAATTACACAGTTAGTGGCTATACATTTCCCATCATTTTCCTTTGTCATTTCAGATATAGTCAACAAAGAGGTCCCAGTTAGTTACAAAGTTCTCTTGTTCTGTTTTATTTATTATTATTATTATTATTATTATTATTATTATTATTATTATTATTATTATTATTATTATTATTATTTGTTTTGTTTTTTGTTTGTTTGTTTGTTTGTTTGTTTGTTTTCCTATACCTAATTTATAAGGTAGTTGTACAATTTCTTTGACGTTCTGTAACACGGAAAATGGGCGATATATATTACCACTAAAAAATCAGCCTTTAATTCTGTCACTTGAAATTGTACCCCTGTTAAATTTTAACCTTAATGTTGCATTAATGTGGTAGTTTTTTTTTTATTATTTTCTGGATTATTAAAAGGAAAAGAGCAGAATAAATTGTCCATATAAATAGCATGGCATGAAAATTACCCAAAATAACATTAGAAAATATGTGAGGCAGTGAAGTATAATATGTTATACATGCATTTGAGATGTTTGTGTTATGAGGGGAGTTGTGTCTATTTTTGCAAAACAGCTTTAACAAAAACACAAACAAATAATATCCCATAGAATCATAGAATCATCCAGGTTGGAAAAGGTCTTCAAGACTATCGAGTCCAACCATCTAAACATAAGTCCTTTTAGTGCTATGTTCACACTTCTCTCAAATACCTCCAGGGATGTGGACTCCTTCACTTCCCTGTACAGCCCACTCCAATGCCTCCAAAGCATTCAATTGCAGAATTGTCCTTTCTTGTGAAATTACAGTAACGAGTAACATTTTGTGATATATTTGTTACCTTGGCTGTTTTATTGCAATCAATGGGACTTATTGAAAAGTGAAAAGAACAAAATATGATTAAATACCTTATGTAAATACCTTTTCAACCCCCAGCATTTAGACAAAATATAAAATGGGAAGCAACAAAATTGTTCCAAAAGTAAAATTTTAATAAGAAATAACTCTAGAGAGTGCATTTTGGATAGCTGTGGATTTTAATCTTCTTTTCATTTTGAACTAGTTACATATAACAAGCTACCAGAGAAATCCAAAAATTTTAGGAAAGGTATAACCAAATCAACTGTAGCATTCAATTTCTAAAGGTACTGGTTTTCACAAGCAATCTTACTTTAGAATGTTTACATGGATGACATCTCACTAATTATTAACTTGAATAAATTACAGGCCTACCATCTAGTCTTGGCTGCAGTTTCAAACATCTTGTAAAATTCTATCTAATCTGTGGTACAATAAGTTTCAAACCTAAAATTGAAATTCTTTCCCCTAAACCAAACTTTATTAAAATGTAGCGAACTGAAAAACTGTGATTTTTCTCTGTAGTGTTAACATGTTTCTTTTCAACAGCTTCAGCTCCCACTTTCCCACTAAATCAAATGAGGAAAACAATAATTATTACCAAGGGCCAAGAAGTTGTCATTGAGTGCAAGCCACAAGCCTCTCCAAAGCCAACTATCACTTGGAAGAAAGGAGACAAAGCTTTAAGGGAGAGTAAGAGGTCAGAAGCCTGTTCGGTAAACTAATTATTGTGTTTGCATGTCTGATTCTGTGATACTAAATGAAAACACAGCCATTGACAATAACGTGTATGTAAGCATGTCTATGCCATACTTTTTTCAAGCTACTTAGTCTTACAGTAGTGACTTTATTGTTTCCACAATATTGAAAACTATTATAATAGTTCAAAGATGCAGAAGATGAAAAGAACTTGTTTGTTTTATTTTTCCTCTATTTCATGTTACTGATTTGTGAATTGGTTACTCATTTTTGAATCTGTGTTTGAGGGTATTAAAAGTATACAGACTGAAGTAGTCAGGGCTGCATAAAATATCAAATATTTTTAAAAACTATTTAATATAAAAATTTAAAAAAAATGAAAAAAAAATCATTTAAATGCTTTTAATAAGGCAGATTGGCAGATTGGTCGTATTGGAAGTCCATCTATGAATAGTTTTAAAATGATTCAGTGAAGAAAAATGTGATTCTATTACAGGATTTAATTATACAAGTAATTTCTGTACTCAGCAGCACATCTGTTTAACAGAATATGTTTGATTAAATAAGTTTCGTCCATCTCTGTACATTAAAGGTAGTTTAAGTACTGTGGGTTAAATGCCAGCTGTAATTGCACTTTACAGGATTGGATGTCTGTGCACTAGAATAGTTTCGCCAGCCTGCATATGGTCTTTAAGTATACACAGAGATCTTATCTTCCTTCTGGTAATGTATATGAATGAACCAATTAAACTTACTTGTGTGGCATTAGTCAAAAAGTTAAAAGCAAGGCTTTTTTGTTCATTTGTGCAATACTGATGAGAGCAGTAGAGCACATCTCTCCTTGTTAGCTGCAAAAGGCATTTCATTCAGGTGAGTTTTATTTTCGTGTCATGCTACTTTTTCAAAAGGAAAAAATGGATAACCTTTCATGTCATATTGTCTCTTGGGGGAAGCAGAGTGAACCTGCATTATATTAACCATTTTATTGACAGATCTGAATTCTACATACTGATAAGGCATGATAGAACAACATCTACAAAGATGTTAATATAAAATATTCCTTGATGTCTTTAATGCTATAGTTATGTAGCTTGCACTACGTGACCTGTTCTTCTCATCTGCACAAAACTCATTATGGTTGCTCTGATCAACACATGTAAATCATCTTTTTAATTAATGGCCAGTAAAACACTTTGGTAATTACCCCTTATCTGTCCAAATTGAGCCTAACTCTGAAATTAAAATATCATAAAGGTGAAATCTGGAGCTACATTTTTGGTATTTGCAGCTTTTGATACTTGTTTATTTTGGCAGAGCCAGGAGCAGGAAATGATGAAATATGGAAGATTAAAAGAGATATTTGAACTGTTTCAAATGTTTGAAAGGTTGATTTCAATTTAGCTTTTAGTCAGCTGTTCAAGGAATCCTTTGTGTCATTCAGAGCAATTCACTGATGTCTATTATGTATCTTGGGGAACAATATCTGTTTCAAGGGAACTCTGTTCTGCCTCTGTATACAGTATTCCTCACACAATAATAGAATCTGTTTGAAGAGCAGATGAAGAAAGCAATCATGATTTTGGTAAAGTAAATGTAAATCAGTAGCATTAGAATCTGTGTTTCCATTCAGTAGAGTTAGAATTTATGTTTCCATGTTGTAGGCAATCTGAGAAAGAACCACTGGAAGAGAAGTGTGTAAAAGTTTAGGGAAAAAAAAGGAAAAATCTGACATATTTTGAGGAACATGTTTATGTATGTTACATTTTTTTATTATTATTATTTTATTTTTATTTTTTTCAGAGATAGCTGATACAAATATCAACAATAACTGAATTGTCATGTGAAGATGTCATGGAATTGTCGTGTGATGAGTTTACATAGAATGTTAGTCCATCAAAGATAAAAAATAATAATAATAATAATTAAAAAAAAAAAAGAAGTAAAGAACACTAACATTCTGGTTAAATAACAATGAAAGCAAGAAGAGCTCAGCCTAATATGATTTTCTTCTATAGCTTTTTCATCATCTATGGAGTGTTGGTAGAACATGTGTTTTGCTAGAAAAAGGAATTTGCACCATTTAGCTACATCTGTGTGAAACAAAACAAAACAAAACAAACAACAACAACAAAAAACCACCACCAACAAAAAAAAAATATCAATGAGAGCAATGAGAGCTTCCCCTCTACAGGAAAGAGGAAATTCCACTTGACTAGCTGACAAAAATACTTCACGTGACATTTCAGTTTGTAACTTTGCTAAAGAATGAGTTTGTGCCTGCAGAACTCATAGCTGGGCACATTTATCACTGAAGTCAGACCTTGACTCTACCTGATGGAACTGAATGCAGTCTGAAAGCCTTAAATGTTCCAGGTTGAGACAAAAAGTTAAAGTCTCTCACTTGACAAGGTAACTGTGGAAAGAGTCATCATGAGCTCCATCTTTTGGCGTTTTTTACGTATGAACTAATTATTCAACCCTCTTAGTATTCTTTGTCTACCTGTGCTAGGTTTGCTTTCCCTGGTGAACAGTCATTATTTTGAGCAGTGAGATCACTTAGAAAGCACCAGTAGACTAGAACAGATCTTTTAACTGTTTTTTGTTTGTTTTTTTTTTTTTTTAAATAAGTTGCAAGGCTATAGAATAAAGTAGAAAAGTAGGATATTTGTAATTATTTGCTGACAAAATGTATAATTCTGAGTGCTACAGTATGCTAAATGTCTTAAATATGATGAATTTGCTCCTATGGAAAGATACATACTCACCAAACAATAGGCACAATGCATTCTATTAACCTGATTTAAAGATCAAAACCTGCTGCAACGGCCACATTTTAATAAAATAAAATATTTTTTTATTAGAGATCTACTATTCAGGAAAGTAAAACTCTCAAAGCATGGGGCACAGTCAGGGAAACTTGATTATACAGGGTATTTAATGGACACAGCATTGAAGAGGAACTATACATAAAACTCAAATCTCTTTCATATCACATCTTTCTTGGTGAGTCATGGTGAAACATCCATAAAAATATGAATTCATTGGTATTTTTGCTTTAAAGTTAAGAGGAGAAAAATAAAATACTATTGTTATACTTTCTTCTTTGAAATTGGAACACACCAGAGAACAGCAGCAGTGAGTTGGTAGACATACTTAATCTGCATATTTTCATTAGTCATCTGACAATAATTAATTTGTTTATGTATCTTTACTCACCAAGTTCCTCTAGAATTTATGGTCTCACAGGCTGATAGAAGGCTGCATGTCGTTTGTAGCAATCTGTGATAATGCATACTCAGGCTATTAATATGATGATCTTTTTAGTCCATAAGAATTTGGTAAAGAACTTCTGAATCTTTTAGTTCATTAAAAGTTTTGGTTTTATGAAAAAAACAAATTGTGTTCAGATTCAAGTATGAAAAACAAGTTTATTCTTTGATTTGTAATAAAATGTTTGGTTGGAACTTTAATTTAGGTCCTAGATAGGAACAACTAATCCGTGTGTAAGAGTTTGGTGATTTTTTTTTCTTTTTTTTTTTTTTTGTGATGTTTCTGAAGAATTTCAATCAGATAAGCAATGAAACCCTCATAAGTAATCAAACCCCCATTTACAATTTTAGTATTAAGTTCTAGACAAGACCCAGATCCGAACTATTTAAATCAAAGTGTCTGTTTCTAATTTAAAGTTCTTTAACTTATTTATAAAGCTACAAGAAAGAAAGAAAGAAAGAAAGAAAGAAAGAAAGAAAGAAAGAAAGAAAGAAAGAAAGAAAGAAAGAAAGAAAGAAAGAAAGAAAAAGAAAAAGAAAACAACAACAACAACAACAAAGATATTTCATCAGATTATTTTATGTAGGCAGTAAATAATAGAATAGACTGGAATTTTCTGAATTTACTGTCATTTCTTCAGTACAAATCATGAGTAATGCTAATAATGACAATTGGATTCTAAATAAACGTTTGTTTTTATAAATTTTGTTTCTATGTTTTTATAAATTCTTTAAATTTTTCTGTTCAGGCTTCCATAAAAAGCTGGTATTTTCTAATGATATATTGCTGTATACATTTTTGTGAGCTAATGCTCCATTTACGATGATCTCTGTTTTGTCAATTTCTTAAGGCCACCTACCTTTGGTGCGTAGATTAACTTGTAGCAACTAAAGCTGATGTATCTGATGTATCAACAGATACTCTTGCGGAGTCATAGATGTTAAAAAGCATTATAAATCTTTGTTCATCTGTTTTTGTTCTTTCTTCTACATCTAAAATATTATTCTCATTAAACTTATATTGAATTTTTGCTTAAGCTCATTATTTCCATTACATATCCATTAATTATAGTTAAAACAAAATCACTCAAAACCACTCTAGCAGTGCAAAAGAGTTCTGTTCAGTCTCTATTATTTCTTGTCCATTCAGCTCACTAAGAAATAAAGAATTGAACAATTCAACCAACAAACTGAAGAAGCAGGATTTCTACTGGTCACATTTTGTGCTGCTTTATTTCTTTTTTTTTTTTTTTTTTTTCCTTTTTGTCTCAAAATAATGTTATTTTGTCTTTTTAAATAATAATATTTATTTTGTCAATGTTTCTTGTATATCTCAATTTGGGTGCATTTTATCCATATATATATATATATATAAACATATGTGTAATATTACATATTGGTAATATAGATCTGCATTTATGTAGTCCTTTCTTTCTTATGACACATTCAAAACTTTCCCTTTCATATGGCTGAACAAGCTTGCAGAAAACTATTACCAGAAAGAGATCTTGTATTGTGATATTAAATTCCAAATACTAATACAGGATTGCTACAGTGTGGCTAGACAGAGAGGCAGAGAAGCCTGAGATGATTTTGTTATACCTACGTTCAGGTTAATACCAAAATCTTTGAACTAGAGAAGTAGTTGTCCTGTATGCCTTTGTCCTTTTTTCTGTCACCCTTTGCTATGCAATTAGTGGAAACACACAGAGCACTTAAATCTAAAAACATC